TTTTATATTGATTGTTCCGAATTAGGCATCTAGGACGGTTGAAATTACATATATTTATCTAAAAAATACATAACATTTTTCATTGATAATATCAAAACCTTGTCGATAAAGCAATATCTGAATAGTTATATTAACTTAAAAAAATATCCTAATGGGTAAGTTACACTAGTCGACTGAATCCGCTAGCGGACTGCGGGTGACCACTACAGGCTCATTTCATTGGCCAATAAAAAAATTATCGATCAATGAAAGCGAGACACAGAAATTGCCCCCACGCCGCTAATAGATGTCATTGAACAGCGAAAGAGAGCCATAATAAGATTTTAAGTAAAAGCGCGACAAAAAATGCGAATCTCTAAATACGTTTTCTATTAGAAATCATAATCATAGAGTACGTCCGTCAAAAATTCTGTGTTAATTTAATAATAAATGTGAGTTCACAGACACGGATTCCTGCTTGCGTAGTAGACCAGACGTTTCAACGGTCGAAACGAGTTACTGAACTTTTCGATATTAATAATAATTTTTTAATATAATGAATGAGTCACTTTACAAAAAAACTTGTATCTGAGGGCTTGCTACCACAACAGAACCGCGAACATGAAACAATGTCCGTTAGAATTACTTAATTTTAGACTTTATTGCTGTGTACATAATGTCACGAGGTAGAACAAAAATCGTATGATTATGATGGATTTGTTTCTCGTATTCGACTCCAATATCCATACTAACGCGTAACGTTCTAATGTTGAAGGACTTTAAAAACTGGTTATTAAGAATCGAAATTCGTAAATGCATAGCGAGGTTTATTAAAAATAGAAAGAATCATACATAAAGCTAATTCGGAACTTTCCAATTTCATATCTCTTTTTTTCACTTGACAAATAAACGTGTTCTGTATAGTACGTGATCTTTATAGTTATGTTACTTTTTGCGTTTCCAAACACTGTTCTTAGAAATGACCGGCCAAAGTAGTTGTTATCTGATTTATTTTATGATTCTGGCAAATATTAATACATAATTCATGCACTAATGACGTAAACCGCAATGATTTACTTCGGGCCCTTACTGATTTATAAAATATGACATCATAGTGTACCACACTATTTACATTTTAAGTATTTTTTACCGGTATTATCATTTATATTTGTCAATGTTGGCACCGTGTCTAAGATATTAACAATTTTCTTCAGTCTCTTTGCTTTTTTTTAAATAAAATATATTTTAGATTTTTTTTACATGTTTCAATTATTATTTTAGATTAAACACGTGTGGGTTCGCGTGATTTCTAAAGTTCATGGTTATCTAGTGATAAAAATGGATGATTTCATAATTTTTTCTCAACCCTTTTCTTATTTATCACGTTATAACATATATATTTATATTTTGTATTTGATTTAATATCGTAACCGTCTATGTATGTAGTGTGGAAATTAACTTAAGTAGATATATTGCGCTATTAAAAAATAAAACTGATAAAGAACGTCGATTTATGACATTCCGAGATTGTAATGTTTATAGTTTGAGATAAAATAATCTATTAATAAATTATCATTTCTTACCGTTAACAAACGTGTATTTGCCCAGGAATTGTCTACATCTACTTATGTTTAAATCCCTCTTTGTTTTATTATAAAACAACGTTGTGATTTTACCTTGATATAAACTACATTCTTTTATTTTCTAACTAATGACAGTATAATCATTTGAAAATGATAATGTTGTAAAATTAATAGATCGATTTTGATGAAATTTGACTAAGACATGTTGTAAAATCTACAACATTGAATCTGATATGATATACGGAGTAGTCTCACTCGGATAGGTCTCAAAGATATATATTATTTTATTCTAAACCAAACTTATTTTCTTATATTTGGATATATTTAAAGATTTCTGTCAAGAATTACTGGATAGTTCATTTATGTATTTTTTGTTTATTTAAAATTATAACAGATAAATATTAGTACAACGTAGCTTTATCAGTGCTGCTGTTATGAGATTTCAGACTTTGTGACAACGCGAAAAAGGGCTTTTTTTTCTCAATTATAGGCGACGGATGATCAACACAAATGACCTAATGACTATTTGAATCGTGTCTTCCGAATCACGAAGGAGTTCGAGATAGTAAATTTTTATTTTTGGTTAGCAAACGTATCGCAACCAAGCGTGTAAACCACTGCGCCATCGTGCTCCTTTGTTCTATGAGATATTAATTCCGTTTTATATAACATCTGATACAAATATCCGTGTTTTATAGCACGAAGGTTCCTAATTACGGAACTAGCATGTCAATTATTTCCGTAATTAGGGTTAGTCTACACTCTAAGGTTTTGGTATTCATAAACAAATGAGTAGGTTAGGTAAAGTAAAAAATTACTTTACCTAACCTACTCATTTGCTCATCTTATTAGATAAAGTAAAAATAAAACTCATAAAATCGCGTCGTGACACGAAAGCCCGATTAGTCCCTCGGGTTCCCCACAAATAATAATCGAAAGAATTTTTAAAATCATAGACAATAACTATATTCATCTTTCAAGAATATTCATCTTTTTACGTTACGCGACCGCCTTTGGATTACATATGTGTACCAGATTTCAACTCAATCGGTTAATTACTTTCGGAGAAAATCACCTGTCACAGACTGACAGACGGATATCCGGTCCTATAAAAAGTTCCGGGCATTTGATCCCCCTAACAAAAATGACAAATACTTGATATTATAATAGGTAAGTTATAATATCATTCCAGATTTATCAGTCATCCACCCCCACTGATATCACTACATGCGAATAATAAAATGTGACTATTCTGTACTATTGCGAAACATTTTCCGGAACCATTATGTGATTTCAATGGACCAACTGTTATTTGGTAAAATAAATTTACCTTTATTTTCGTATTTTTTGTAATGATTACCTATTTAAATACAACTAACTATATAATAACAGTATGTTCTATAAAGGTTACATTGGACTGAACGCAACAGGGACGTGTTCGAAGTTGCGTTCAAAGCCGATTTTTTAAAGAATAGAATAGCACTTCGTTTCTCTAATCGGTCTAGTTCACTTTAGCCAAGGTAGATATTTCTTAACAAGAATAACACCGCCAAGAAGGTTTGTGGAATAGAAATTATTAACTATAACTAGGTACTTCAAGAAAAAAAGCTCCCAAAATTAACTGTTTCAGGTAGGTATGTCGCAATCAAATAATTAAATCAGCCGTTCAATTGGGTGGCTGGCCCTAAAATTGATAATAAGATAATATTGTAAATAAATATTTGTATCGATGAAGATACGCTCTGTAGTAGTAGTAAAAGTAACAAGTGGTTAAAAATTTTTTTCAGTCCTGTTAGGTCCTGGATAGCTCAGTGGTTAGAGCAATCGCCCGGGTTGCAAATGTCATGGGTTCGAGTCTTATCACAGAGGGCTAGGGACAAAGGGTTTTTGAAGCATTTTTGATTAAGAATATAAACAACAAAGTTAATTTGGTCCTCTAGGTCACGTGATAGGTTACTTTATTTAACAGATAACAAAACTGAATTGACATTCTGGCGGCTTTTAAAAAAATGGCTGAAACAAACTACGTTATAATTTATTATCTGATGATGAAATAAAGTTTCGGTTCCAGATGATATTATATTACCAACATTTTTCCATTTCATATAAAAATCGATGAACAGATAAGATAGTGATATTATCAGAAAACACACTTGACTCGAAAAACTAACATAGATGGTATATGGACCAATGGATAATTGTAAAATTGCATTGAGAAAACGACTCTCCGAAGAGAAATCAAACTTATCAACTGTAATATTACTCTCTGTCTCTCTCTTTTCTTTACATTTTAATATAAAAATAATATTTGAATGAAAATCGGTCAACAAGCGCCGGAAAAATCGGAAAAACATCGCCGTCGAACAATAACCTCAATTATGATTTTGGAGTCGGTTAAAGATATTTTGAGTGAAGGGATTATAAATCTACAGTTGTTGTTAAGTAAATAAATATAATATTTGCTAATGATTAAGATTTTATTCAGTAAACAATTAAACGCACGGTAGAATGTAATGTCTTATAAGTTTATAACCAATTACTATTAATTTTGATATATTGTAAAAAAAAATTTAACATTCAATTAACTTTAATTATATAAAATTACATATATTCGTATTCCTCCAATTACAATATTTAGAAATTGAAAAAAAGGTTCGTTATAATGATACTTAATGAGTTTTCCTATGATTTGATCACTTTTCCATGTCAAATTTTTACTTTGTTTTTGAAATATGAAATTTGGTGTATTTTAATATCATAAATCATACTTTCATTGATACATTTAAAAATATGAGTGTAACAATTTTCATAGTACATGTTACTTTACCACAGAATGTCAAATAACCATAATTGATTTTTAGTCTTATTATGAATACATTGAAGATTAAATTTAGATCATGAATTTTAAGTTTTGTAAAACTTGATGTTATATACTGACGTGCAGGTCAGGCTTATACAATATGTCGGATTTCAGCAATCTACTTTGAAATCTACTCTCAATGTATTAAAGTTTAAAATCGAGTGAGGAAATTTGACAGTTTTGAATAGACTAACGTGCTGTTGACTATACATAAGTGTGAAAACTAAAAACGGAGCCTTGAATCGAGGCTTTTACAATAAGTCATATCCTATTCTTAGTATATACAAAGTTCATTATTACCGTCAATGGCGGCATTTGTCTGGCAATTTATAATATCAATATTGTAAAAAGGTAAACATGAATTGACGCAGGTTGATTTCTAGAATACTATACTACTCAGATAACCTAGATACTATATTTAACTTCTAACGTGCGAATTACCTTTCAACACAGTTTGACAATCTTGTGTAAATTATACAATGATATATGGATATAATATGTCATGATTTAAATTAACTAGTACAAGTGTTGAAACGACATTCATAAAAATATAAATGAAATCAAATTTAAAGACTCACCTTCATATATGGACCTATCATAAAGAATACGTATTAAAAGTTTCGCGAAATACGATTTCACGAAACCGAGTCTAAAAATTAAAATGTCAAAAGACACACGTAATTTAAAAAAAAAAAGTTTCACAGCAATTTTTTATCACAGAATTTTACACGCGTTGTTAGCATGCACCGCGTTTTCACAATTTAGCACATTTCCAATAAGTTTATAAACCGAACAACAACAAATATTATGTGTAATAAAAACTATTTTTTCTTAGGCATATCGTTTGCTGACCACGGATAAATATTGGAAATTACCGCGACTATTGAATTTAGAACACGTGAATTTTTAAATCGAACGCGGGAAAATAAAGCCGCACGCAACACAAATGTCGCCGGTATGTTGTCTGAACGGTGACTGGCTGAGCGTTGCTAAATCCCTCAGTCTTGTATGTATAAGTATTCGCGGCTGTTTAAAAAATAAATACGACGAGGTACGATGATGGAAGGCTCGCCGAACGTTTCATGGAACTGTTATCTAACGAATTCAATATCTGCCTCGGGCTATCGATTGGCGCCAACGGTGATGGCACAAAAAATACCCATACATATGGATACCTGTGAAATAACCACCAATAATGTGAATTCGTTGTAAATCATTATAAAGGTTATGGTTGCCTTCTTTATGAGATGCTTCCAATAGCGTTATAAACCTTATTTGAATAGGAAACTCTTTTTAGATTTTTTTGATAATTCCTTATGAAGTTACTACCTATATACGCAATTCACTATTTTTCCAATTCTACTTTTATAAAACTAGGTTATCCACTCTTTTTGGGAAAATTGTGTGGTTTGATTCCCACCTAGAATAGTCGATTATTTTAATACAATTTTATCTAATTAATACTTATCTAATTGATGTCAAAGTCAAAGGTTACCGCAGAAACGCTCTGTTGCTAACATTAGTCACGGGAGAACATAATTAAATCTATTTAATTAACCTCGTTCCACTTTTTTCTTACCGCATCTGTATTTTAATTATGTAGATAAAACACGTATTAAGTATTCATGTAGGGAATTTTGTACTCCAAATTTATGATGCACCGCTTATCTTTTAATTAATATTTCCACATTCGTCATTTTCATTTTACACACAGCAGCGCAGTCGTCTATGATAAAATTTCACTGCAATAGTAAACACAGACAACAAAGTAAGTACAGACAACAGCACGTCAGATTATACAAATCTGTCAATATTTCTTCATTTAAACCTTAACGTTTTGAAGATAGAGTTTTTATTCAACCGAAGTAATGTGACTTATTGGGGTAACCTGACGTGCAACCGTGTGTAATAGTGTTGTAGGTATGTTTAATTATAAACACACGACACGTTTAAATACTAAAAATAATTTACGTTTTGTTTTTCATCAGAACTGTGCATGTCATTTTCAGGGTCTAGAAAAATCTGTGGGTATTATTGGTAAATATTTTCCTCAATTCTCCGATTCTTCCTTTGAATAATAAAGACCTCATGAAAATAAATAGCAATAAATCATATTCAATTGCAATGGTGAAGTTGTTTTGTCAAGGCGTAGCTTTAGTTGATGATGACCTCCCATCTCTACCAGCCGCAATGTTTCATACAGTGTACTATGGCGGTTGGTTGTTAATATTTTAATTATAGACAAAGGTTATATACATATACAGCCTTCTTTATTGTCAAGGAAATGAATTGGGCACTTATATCTATGGCGTGGCGATGGGATTTCTTCCTCAAGGGCCCTCAGAGACCTATTTACTAAAAAATCAAGATTTTCCCGTAGGCTTAAACTCTATACAGATGTTGAAATCTGGAGAAGTCTATAGTCAGGAGTCTGAAGTAAAGTTTGTTTTATTTTTACCAAAACGTTGATATCTCATAATTCATACACGTGTTTCATTCAAATATTTGGAGCCAATTGAAAGATGTTCTAAAATTTCTTAAAAAATGACAAATTTAAATCATTAATATTATTGCATAATGAACAAATGGTCGTGTCAGTATATAGAAAAATAAAGAGCAAACTTATTTCATATTAATTACTATGATCTGAAATCAAACGAAGAACATTATCTGAATAAAGCATTATTACAATCGCCTCGTTTTTTTAAAGGTCCATCAATCACCATTTTACACATGCAAAAACAGCCCGAAAAACAACAACACTTTTCGGAACAGGAAAAAAACTAAATGGGTAGGTGTTGCCAATGATTAATATGATGAATCCACAGACTACAATAAATTCTACGTCATACATTAAAATGTGATTGGCCAAATGACTCATCAGTGTTTATTAACAAAAACCAACTTAATTACCTTAATAATAATCTCTAAATTATTATAAGCACATGTTAATGCTTTAAGAAGCATGCATGAATTGAGAAGAATGTTTTCATCTTTCTTAATCGGTAATAAAATTGAAAAAGACGAATTATAGACCATAAAGATAATAAATAAATTGTTAAATTATAGCTTATCATAACACTAACATAATTAATATCGACGTATAACCGAATAATAACAACTATACATTTAAATTGATATTTTTGTAATAAATGTGAAATATACATAACAATATTTATCTATTCTGGTACAGACTATGAGCTTTGAATTCTTTCAATTCCAAAATAATAACGGAATATAGTTTAATTTTTACTTAATGCTAAATAGAACCTAATCTTTAAACATTTACAAAAAATAGAGTATAAACTATTTTTCACAACTTCTGCACGACAAAGTAGTTATTAAATTTTGAATGTTCGAAAATTCTAAGCCTAAAGGAATTGTAAAAGAAATGTAATATCTTGTAATATCGATGAAATAAAAGCACAAGTAGGTATAATGAAGTCCCATGAAGTACATTTCATTTTTCATTTCACTTGTAGCATCTTCTTTTTATTACCTCGCAAAATGTGTGAAAAGTAGAGCTTTAGAAAAAAAAACTGTCTATGTCGTGGGCCGATTTAATCCCTCACTTCACTCGTTCTTCAGGAATTGCTTCACATAAGACTTAACTTCACACAAAACGCCGTATGACGTAGAACAGGCCTTATTATTTAGAAATTGAATTATTCTTATAGCACAAAATTCCCAAATTCATACTTTAATTGTAAATTAGCCACTTGTTTCAGTTTTGCAGGGATGTATTGTGTGTTTACGGTCCGGATGTACCTGGGACTGACTTTAAGATACCAGGTACCCGGACTAAGCGAGAGGGTAGTACAGGGGGTTTTGCACGGTAGGCCCACTTCACTGGACCGCCATCCCTTGCAGTGGGAGAACCCGGATTCAGTCGGCCTTTCGCCCAGGTCGACGGCATGTTTAGGTCAGTTCCCCTCGGAATAAAATAACAAAAAGGATGTATTATGTGTAATTCCCAGTTCGCATAATCGTCGACTCATTAGTCGTCAGTGGTGGACTTATCATCGGACTGAACATGAGAGCGATGATTAGGACATTTGTAGTGTAAATCAGTCACGTTTTTTCTTTTTTTTATTTTACTACCTTTGGAGATAAAAATAACAAAGGTGTCTTAAACACGTTGCTATGCTACAAGATGAACCTATTGTAATATGAGGTTGTTGACCGATATTTATCGTAATGCCTGCAGTTAGCAAGTAAAAAATTAAATATTTTTGTGATTATGTATATCGTCTTACTTTACATAATATTCTAAATACGATACTAAGCCGTAGAGAAAAATTAGTTAGACAATTTTATTCGTTTATTCCACCCACGAAAATAATTTACTTCTCTATTTATATTATCTCTAATATTAGATTTAGTTTGTCTGTTGGTTCGTAGGGTTAATCTTCGGAAATACTGTGCGATTATTGAAATTCTTTTTACTTAAGGGAAACTGTATCATGCGGATTACATAGACTTTAATTGATGCGAGTGAAGTCGCAGGAAAACAGTTAGTATCAAAATATTTCACAATATTTCTGCAATAGTTTTGTTTTGACAGTAAGTACAATGTCTATGCGTTGTTAGCTCGAAAATTAACCAAAAACTATTCCTTGTGCAATCTAAACAAATTTGTTAGGTTATAAGAATAATTCAGTGACTCATTTCACGACACAAAAAAAAATATTAATGTGATTGTTATCTGCAGTATCGAATCGTAACGCAAAAAAAATATAAGCCTCTTTTTGGCATAAGTGTAAAACTAAGAAATTCAATACACACGTGAATTCAATATTCATCGTAAATTCCACCGTGCCATCTGAAAAGCTCATTAAAAACCATTCGGATGTTCTATCGATTAATTCGTTAAAACAGTCAGCAGTCGGTCAAAATAAAAATAAGATACTCGTACTTTTGAAACACAGCGCGTTCAACCGCGCGTCGTTAAAGGTGTAATTACGAACAATAAAACAATTGCGCTGACTTTTATTTTGTTTTTTGTTTATCTATTGTTTTTAAAAATTTCCCAGTAAATTCAATGTCATTCATTGTAATTACTTTTTTAAGGTTGCTCAAAATCATATCGAAGTAAAACTAATCGTTTTTTGTTACTTTTGCATATCCTCGCAATTAAAATAATGAAAAAAAGAATGACGCAGGTACCTATGCGTCATTGTTTTTGAGTTATCTATATATATATAAAAATGAATTTCCGTTCGTTAGTCTCGGTAAAACTCGAGAACTGCTGAACCGATTTGACAAATTTTAGTCTTGAAATATTCGTGGAAGTCCTGAGAAGGTTTAAATATGAGAAAATATAACAAAATTGCAAGTATATACTTAAAACGTATATACTAAATACTAAAAACGACAATTTGATTTTCCCATACAAACTGTTCTTAGCTATGAAACGTTGAGTTGACGAGCAATATTTATAGTCGTGCAGTGGTCAGTTTACGCAATATTTTTCAATATTAATATGGTTTTTATTAAGAGGTAAGTGATAAGAAGTTCACCGGGTCAGCTAGTTGTGAATAAACGTCACGAGAAATACTTTATAAACCATACAGTAGCGAGAGCTATAAATATAATTCTATGCATTCTACATACCTATATTAATTATTAATTTTATAATTATATGTTTTTTATTCATTATATATTGATCATTAACCAATATCTTTTATTGTTATAGCATTCTTATTTAGACTAAAATAAAATATAATAAAAAATGCATATTGACTTGTCAATGTAATTTAAAAAAAAACTTTTTAAAATCGTTGATGAAATATAAATACTCGTAATAAAATGAAATCGTATGTTGATGAAATGAAATCGTCACTGTAAATGGATGCGTTAACACTATGAGTTAAAGTTGAATTTGTAATTGTACATTTGTAATCGCCTTTTCTACGTATCCCTATCTTTTTCAGTCACTCGGTACCGCCATTTGCTAGAACGAGAACGACAGTCGACGTGCGATAACACGCCATGAAATCCTCGAGGCGATGGACAAAACGCTGGAAATGGCAATAATCTGCACGCCAGTCCAATAAAATAGACCGGTTTCTAATTTAACTGGATTAGCTAGACTACATGGACCATTTATGTCCCTTATGTCTCAGTTACACTGGTCGGTGGGGTCAGCATTAGTTTATAAAACAACTCACTCGCACGCAGATCTCATCGACCAGTGGAAATACGCCATAAGGCCAGAGAATAGACGGTTGCAGCAAGTTTAGATACGGTCTATAATTATTACTGTTTCGTTTTATCGCTCGATTTCTATTTTTACTGGACGTAGTAAACGTGTAGAACTGTAACAAAGCAGCATAACATAAATATTATGATTACCAAATGTTCAACAATAGCAAACGTTTTGCCAACCATTGGTAAGTAATTATTGTATGCAATACGAAAAACTCGCTTTTTTGTTTCAAAAAAATTGGTAATATTAGTAACTAGCTGTTTTCATGCTACTTCTTCCGTATAAATTTGCCTGTTTTCCTCGCATATGATGATTCTATCACCTACGGGAAGTAGTTTCGTAGACGGTCCAGTAGTTTCGGAGCCTATTTATTGCAAATACAGAAATAATCAAATATTTCTTCTTTATAATAAGTATTAGTTGAATTATGAGTTTAATATTTTTGGGAAAACTGTTGAATTTTATGCAGGATGACGTTTGTCGAATGAACAAGAATATTGATATACTCTTGTTTTGTCAGAGTAGGTAACAATATTTAATACTGTAAAAACGAACATCTAAAATTAACATAGAAGTGAAAACAAATGTATACATTGAAAATGACTATCAATGTCGATACCTGTATTAAATACTGCAAAAACGAAAATCTAAATTTAACTGAAGTGAAAACTAACTTGCAAAAGAGAAATTCCCGTACCGGGAATCGAACCCGAGCCTCCTGGGTGAAAGCCAGGTATCCTAGCCACTAGACCATACGGGAGTTGCGAAGAGTGTACAAATTTTCAATAATGTAATGCAGTGTTAAATATAATTATTTTTAAATAAATAAAAATAAATGAATTTTGGTTTTATTAATAGTTAGCACTTATACCGCGAATCGACCCACGTAAATTATTAGCTTTTGTCATTCACGTAGCTTCCTATAGGTGATTTTTTTTAAGTCGGTCGAGTAAATTCAGAGCCTATTTAATGCAAAGGACCGATCAAATATTTACTTTTTTTAGTATAAGTGGTATAGTGTATGACACCACATCATTTTTTTCTATAATAAACAGGATTTTAATATTATCAGCGCCATCTATGAATTATAGTAAATACTAGTCCATGATAGGACGCTCAAAACTTTTACCGGTTAAGAGAAGTTACAAAATAGTTCGTATGGTAACTGACAGATAGCGCACTAATAATGTAGAGCGTAGATTGTAGTACTGGTAGATGGAAGGAAATGTAGAGCATTTAATTTGTTCAGTATGTTTATGTAATTTAGTGTTAATTCCTCTGCAGTTAAATAAAACAAATTATAATTTTATAAATAAATAAATAAAAAAAACTGGACAAAATATAATGGAACTTTAATATAAAATTATTTTATCTAAAACTAAATAAAACTCAGATAGTGGTTTTTTAACAAGCTTTAATTTTTTTTTAACTTGCTTTATTTGTTAGTGCGCAAATCTTTGAACTCAAATTTGACCCACTTCCCAATGTCCGATAGATTTGAAATTTCATGTCTATACATGTAAGTCAGATGATAACGCAATATTATGGTGTCAGCAAGCTGATTGATGATGATGTAGCTGGAAGGTGGTCAGGTGATGATAAGAACTTAGCAATGAAATAACGCAACTGCATCGGGTTTGGGCTCGTTAGATCCGTCTTTACGAGGACTTTGGCACTGGATGCTTTACAGACCAAGGTCTGGTGATGTGGAGCTATAAAGTGGTCATAGGAACTTAGCAATGAAATAACTCAACTTTTTTGATCGTTTTTATGAGAACAACAACATATTGAGACACAGCAAAAAATTAAAAAAATAAGCTTTTTTAGAAAAATAAACAATTGTAAGTGCACACTAAAACGTAATTAAATAACCCCTAAGCGTTTAAAGTACTTTATACATACATTTTCTCATACAGTAATTGACTTGAAAAGCTTGTAGCGCGTAAAAATATATGTATTTCCTAGTTTCCGCTTTCAGTCAATTATGTTTGAGTGGGCACAAATAAAAGCTAAATAAATAAAAGCTTGTTTAAAAAAAAACTTTTTTATGAACCATTTTAACGTACAAATATTTAACAATTTTTTTTTAAGACAAACAAACATAGCGCCGTATCTTCGAAACTAATAATCGCAGACATGCTGTTATTTCTTCATTATTTCTCAGACATGAATGGATTATTTGTTTATAAAATAAAAACGTTTTTAATTAGACTATTTACGCGTGCGAAGTCACATAAAAACAGCTAATAATATAATAAAATCATTTATTTTGAGATATACAATTAGAATGTTTTTTTTAAATGTCATCATCGGTGAGTTTCGTGCTTGTTTTTCTTATCACTCAAAAAAAAATGTCCTGAACGTAAAAAATATAGTACATTTCAAAAGTACTATTTAAGTTTATTTGAATAAAGAAATTTTTAACTTTGACTATAAGGAGCCTTAATTTGATGTATAAGGAGCATTTCTTATGCGTTTTGTCACGTCATTCCGTCTCGTTTACTTAAATAAGTAAAGCAATGTATGTACCTGTCTCCCTTCGTTCTCTCCCCTTATTCTTTTCCTCTCTTTTAGCCTTCTCTCTTCCTAATACTTCTTATTCCTCAACACTCTTGTCCTCTTTTCATTCCCGGGTCAGCATTCCCTTGTCTTTTACTCAAAATTGGTAAAAGTGAATTTCCGGCATTCCCTCATTGAAAAACGGTCTTCTAATATGAGTTGCATCACGACGCATTCTCTTTTCTCAAAAGCCAAACTATAAATAGAGTTCCAATCACAAAGCAAAAAAAAAACATAGTAAAGGCATGATAAATGTTGTAAAGAAATCTACTAGACAGGTATCATTATACAAATCCTTTCCCACTGATTGTCGAATTAATTTCAATTGCTTATCATTGGCATGCAATCGATTTAATAGACTTAAGGACAAAGTAAGGAAAATAACTTCTTATATCGGTATACCTTTTATAGCTATTACTAACTATGAAGTTTTTATTTGAAAAAAATCATAAAGAAACGTTTTTTTAATAATATATTCTGTTATAGAGACTGAATAGATTCTTTATGATATATTAAGGGAATTAATATCTGAATCCATAAACTATAGTGCTTTAATTTAAAATAGGTATGTACATGTAATACTATAGAACTTAATGCCTCAGGCATGCTCACCCCGTCACCCTTAGAGTTCTATGTAAATAATAAAAATGCATAATGTTTTAAATGATAATGTTCGTATTAGCAATGCTATTATATATTGTTATTTATCTTATAGAATATCTTATAAAAAATTCTTATAAAAAAATATGAGTAAAATGGACATTTATTTTCTAGCGAAAGCTTAGTTACCGACTTCAGTAACATTATTTATTATAATTGTTATTGTTTATGTACCTATATCTGTATTTACTATCACAAACCTCATATTCTAGTGTACGATAGTTATTTCAAATCATAAACATAAAGAAGTAACATAAGTTTTCAACGATAGCTTTCTATTAAAGCAAAAGTACTACAAAAAGCTCTCTCTAAAGTTTTCTATTGTTACCCTCTTAAATACATTCGAATTGCTGTATGCAACAGAACTTATACATTCGTCTACGTCGGCCCCTAAGTCTGGCTTAGGGTGAGATTTGTGACCTTCGAGCACCCTTGCACGACGTCTGGCCAATATGGTAATATCTATAGCGTTCTAGTTTCAACATTATTGTATCAAACAAAAACCTGTTAGGCGTAAAACAGCGGTGATGATCACAATTGTCTATATTAGTCAGAGTTTTATTATTTTTATGTGCGTTTAGTACAATGACGTAGTGTTGTGGTCACGCGCGAAGCTTCGCATAGCCGGCGGCGGCGAATTGCCCCGGCGTCAGTCTGAACGGCCGCGCCGAACGCGCCACACGCACCATGCTATCATTGCTATTCCTCGCCGCAATCGCCGCCGCGGCCGCGCAAAACGACACGCAAACCTCGCGCCCACCGTCGCCCAGGCGCGAACAGTTCCGTGTCATCTACGAATGGAACGTTATAGACTTCGAATGGCCCTCCCCGGGAGATCGCGAAGCTTACCTAAGTACCAACCGATATATACCCCAAAACGTACTAATATCTGGCATAAACTTCTATGGCGAAAACCTCTTCCTAACTGTGCCGAGGATGATGGACGGAGTACCGGCGACACTGGCTACCATACCGGTGCAACAAATCGACACAGCGCCGAAACTGAAACCATTCCCGAGTTGGGAGGATAACGTACTTGGAAACTGTTCCGCGCTACAGTTCGTGCAGAATATAGAAATTGACAAGAACGGGGTCATGTGGATCCTGGACAACGGACGTGTTGGAACGCTTACGCAAAAACCTGATCCTAAGTGCCCTCCTTCTTTAGTCCTAATTGACCTGAAGTCCGGAAAAAATGAAATGGAACGCATACCGTTCCCACCAGAAATTTCTAATATGAATACAACGTATTTAAATGATATTGTGGTGGACAATCGTGATGGTGATTACGCCTACATAACAGATAACAGTGCCGTCGACCCAGGTATCATCGTGTTCCGCCGCAGTGACAAAAAGTCTTGGAAAGTTCGAGACACAAAATCAATGTCGTCAGTGCCTGAAGCATCAGCGTTCCGTATTAATGGAACTAGTATTAACCTTCCAGTAAACATCGATGGAATCGCTCTAGGACCTCAATTTTTTACAGCAGATGATAAAATTGATAGAACAGTATACTACTGTCCTTTATCGAGTTACCATTTGTACGCAGTTAACGCTTCAGTTTTGAGAAACGATTCTATCGGAAGCACAGACGGGGCAATCCGCCCTTACGTTGTTGATCTCGGCACTAAAGCGTCACAAACGGATGGTATGAAGATGGACTCGACCGGTGTACTTTTCTACGGTCTAATTGGTAACTCGACCATTGCGGAATGGAATACGACGGTCGATTTCCACGTTGGCCAACGTACTATCGCCCGCGATCCAAACTACATCCAGTGGGTTGATCGTTTCACGTTCGACGATCGTGGCAATGTATACGTCGTCGTCAATAGACTGTATAACTTCGTGAAAAACCAAGTTTCAACTAGCGAAGTTAACTACAGAATTCTGAAATCCCATACGGGCACAAAGAGTTACGTGTACGCAGAAGATCTGAAGCCAGCCGGTGTTCCTGGTGCCGCTGCAGCTCCAACCCTTGGCGCATCGCTGCTGCTCTTGGCTCTCGCCCACCTGCTAGCTTAGTCCTTGTGAAATTTCTCAGTCGAATTTTGGCCGAGACCCTGAAAAAACAGTGTTAAATACACACGCCCGGACTGACGCGTAACATTACCAAATATTGAGTTACCTTTAACCTCTAAGGTCCCAGTGATATACGCATGTAGATATAGCTTTATATATTTTGAATAAGTTTTTAATTGTTATGAGCGACTATGTGACCTTTGTGTACCATAAGCTAAGTTGCGGTTCTAGGATGAGTCTCGTGTTCACCAGATGTACGCTAAAGGTCGAGGACATGTTGCCAAATGCCGCACCTTTTATCAACAATAAACATTCCAACTTTTAAGTAAGGTGCATCATCCGGCATGGTTTATATTACGAGTATTTTTAATGTAAGACTAAATTGATTATGAAATCCAGTAAGAGTAGTATTTTTATCAAAATTTTCATAAATATCAATTGGTGCTGTCTCATTTGCATCTACAAACTGAAACTCCCTCGCTGTGCCATTTCTTTCAATAACAATGAATCATAAGGCAGCTAGTGCAAACACAAAATTTATCAAATTATGAAAATCCTACTCATACTGGTTACTTTAAATAGAAACGAAAATCGTCCAAAACTAAAAATTTATCTAAATCACTTAATATAAATTTGCTAAATTACCTATAATTTAACTTAAATAGTAATATACAATATTATAACTAAATTGTATGTTTGTAGTATGAACGTGACTGAATGATTTTAAATAAATGTGTTTATCGTACTTTTGTGTTGTCACTACACATTAGCTGTCCAATGTGAAGCTGCTAATCTGTATATGTTTTCACTAAGAATAAAAAATGGGCAAAAGCGAGTCGGCCTCGCGCGCAGAGGATTTTGGACTTTGAATTTTTAAAACCCTAGTCTTCTCGGAGGTTTTCCTGTAAAGTAATATTTTTCGTATTGTTAAGTAGAAAAAGAAATGTTTTATTTTGGATTCTCACTATAAGTGCTTTCATTTGATTACAATATTGATAGCGAAACCTTTTTGTTTTCAAATTTATCCCCCAAAAAAGCGTCTATAGTTTAAAATCATTTGTTTACATTAAACGACTGCCTGGGTCATCTTACCAGCTTCATAATGTAGCAAATTTCAACTCAATCCATCCAGTGGCTTCGAAGAAAATCAGCTGTCACATACCGACTGATAGACAGACAACCAAGTGATAAGGGTTTCGTTTTTTTCAATTTGAGGTATTAATCCCTAATCATTTTTAATTTGTTACAAGGACAAGATGCCATATGCAAATATATGACATCGTATTGGTATGTAACTACAACGATGTAAATAAATATTCATCGACCTTGTGGAATAGTTTATGCCTTTTAAAGTATTGTTATTGTATCTTCATTTTATAATTCAAGAATATTGACATTTTGTTTGTAATCCTCATCTATTAGTCACAGTAAGCATCTGAATACTATAGGTATGATAAAAATAATTTAAATATGAAATACTATTCCATAAATCTGTACTAATAAAGGATTATTAAAATAATTGCTTAATTTTTTTAACAATGTCATGCTTTCATATGTAAATCACTTATTAAAAAGGTACTTTAATTAATTTTACTGATACAAAAGGTTTTTGGTAAATCAAGCTAATCAATCGGTTTTATCAGAATACACACTGAATAAAGTTTACCGAAAAGCTCGACTTACCGACCGAGAAGCTTACTTTTTCGGATAGGCAAATTACACTTTGCCTTGCGATCCTATTGGTCGGAGAACCCCGATTTAAAGCATATAAAAATAGAGTCATATCTATGTAGTGTGCGAGTAGAGTATGGCGAGTAATTTCTAGAATTTTTGTACCTCAAAGTATAGCTTTGGACATAGGACGTGACGTGCGGATGTCCTAATTACATTACCAAGGCGCCGCCAAAGATAAATTACTACCCCCCTCCCTTGTGATATTTCGAGATATTATACGAAACCCCTTTCGAGCCTCACGTGACGAATAGACGATCCTCAATGAGATTCACGTTTATTTCATTTCTTTTGTTTGGCTTTGTATATTCCAGAGATTTAAACAGAAAGTGCGCACTCCTGCCCCACATAACTCTACATCATTTGGACATTATTACATTCTCATATTGACATATATTAGATCTATAGTAAGATCTAAATATTTCAACAAAATTAGTTGTCAATAAGTCTTACATAACGAAGCCAGTATCATCACACACAAATATAATATACTTTCTACTTCCAATTTTTTTTCATTTGTTTCTTAGGAGCAAAAGATAATTGCTTTTAAAATTAATAGTATTTTAGTTTCTATTTATTGTTATTCAAATGAACCGCAAACCTATTTCAAGCTTATGTATACAAAATAACTATCAGTCAAAACATATTTATGAATACACATTCTTTTAATAATAGTAAATTATGTGTATTTTATTTTTGTTTGTCTGAAACATTTAAAACAAGATTAAAATTTATCATTGTTTCTTTGATGGGAAACATTTTGAAGTAAAGAGTTAAAACTAATCTTGACGTATTCGACTCATAAATTACTCTTCATAAATATTCATGTATTATTTGGAATAATTACTAACTGGCATATGCATGTCATATACAATCTTTATGTCGTAGGATAAGATGTAGGGTATATGTCGTTGGTTATGATAAAGATTCGGAGGATAAAAGTGCAATTGCGATTAGTTTTATCCTAAAATGATATCGGCTGTTAATAAAAAAATTAAGAGACAGCAATTAGTAATCTCTGAAATCATAATCAAAGGTTGGCGTTATGTGATTATTTAGTTGCGAAGAGAAAGAAAAACAAACAAAGATATTTTCCTATACACAATTAGTATTTTTATTATTATAATTAATATATTTTAAAATAAAAAATAGATTTCTGTAAATGCTTTAAAAATATTTTTATCTTGTGAAGATTTTGGATGTGTACGCTCTATGCGTAACGAATATAATCTTTTTGCTTATAAAGAACAACCGTCGAATAAAAGATTTCAACGCCTTCAGCAAACAGTTGATTTTGTAACATCCATGGCAAACTACTTATAAATTCTTTTTATGACTTATTAATATTTATCATCTATACTAATATTATAAAACCAAAAAAAATGTTGGTAAATAAAAATTAAGATACTGATTTTTTTTTTAAATTCTTCATCGGAAGAATACTTATAATACATCTACAAAAAAAACAATAATTTGATTGAAAAGTATCTGCTTTAGCAGTAAATGCTTTGTTAAATAAATTAATGTCTGTCTGTAGTATGGTCTACTTGATGACTATTTGTACAATTTGAGTAATAAGCACTTATGTTATAATATTATGACAGCTTACGTCGGCATAATAGACGACCTCTGCGGATAAGTGGCTCGCACGCCGGTTTCAAGGTGCCGCTCATCTCTGAGGTCCCGAATTTGATTCCCAGTCGGGTCGATGTTAGAAAATGGAATTTTCTGTATTGTTTGGGACTGGGTATTGTGGTACCTTAGTTGTTTCAGTTATAATACAATAGTGTTTTAATAATTTAATTTGGGAGTAATGAAAATAAACATTAGACTATTAATTTTAATTTTTTAATGGGATTATAAAAGCCTTCACAGATAATTATTTTAAGAGGACTTGTACCAAAAAGGCATATCTAAAACAGTAAATCAAAAGTGGGGTATCAGTGTTTCGGTATCGGTATCATTAAAAATATGATTTATTAACCGTACCACAGATACACATAAAGTATACCGTAATAAACAACAAGAAATTAATTGTGCACCGACTATGAATTTATTATAAAATCCTGTATAACCTTTGCTATTTAAGAGCATCAAGATATGTTTTATCAAGTCTAGCCGCCAAAATCTTCAATAATAATAACATTATTACTTATTATGTTATCACTTAGTTTTTTTATTATATATTTGTGTGAGATTTAGGTAAAACCTTTCGTTCTAGCAGTAAATCATATTTTTGACTTTTACACAATCGATTATATAAAACATAATCGAATTATAACAGTAAAGTTTGCATTAATATTAAAAGAGGAATTGATTGTGAGTTTCCATTGGACAGGCTCTAAAACTACGGGCCTGTTTTAAAAAATTCTTTCACCTACGGAACGTAACATCATACGAGATAATAGTCAGGTGACATAGGCTATAACTTACGCTGGCGAAATCGCGGTAAAGCAGCGAGTGATAAATAAAAATCTCGTCTATTATTAAATATTAATTTATTTAATGTTTTAATTTTATTTATTTTAAACTTATGATTGTGGATAGTAGCGTTAATTCTTGAAATAAATGACTTATTATTATTAAATTACATTATGTCTAGTGCCTACTCTTAACACGTCAATAATATCAACAAGACTACTCGATTGGCCACATTAAAATATTATCACAAACGAATTTCACTTTAGTACGATAGTGTTAATTATAGCCAATCTCTTGTATAGTATGGATGGCTTGTCATCTGTCAAAAGTCAAAACTGGTTTGTTTTTTATGTTGTTGTCTATCAGTCCGGATGCTAGTTGGTTTTCACTGCCTGCTTTTTTTCTACTTACATTCGTAGGATAACGTAGAAAGTAATTACGAGTGATCCAATGAAAGTGTTTGTTACAAAAATAGAGTTGGGGCGTCAAGAATTCCGCTCAATCTAGATTGTATCTCGAATTCATAGAATTACTTTTGATAAAATAAAATAATGAGATTAAAATATACATCTCGAACGAAAGTTTAAGCTGGGCAGCTCAATAGATAGAACAGTCGCCCGGATTGCAAAACGTTCTGGTTTCAAGTCCCATCTCGGTTTACCTGGTAAAAAAACTCATAGAATGTTGAATGTGCGTACTCTAAATACTGTCGCGTCATAAGTCTTCCATGTATTTAATTTATTACCATTTGAGGTAGGTTACATTTGATTGAACGTCTATGCTGTGACAGAGCTGTATGTCGAGTTCCAGGCTGATTTTATTTTAAAATAACACTACTATTGTTGGTTATTTTTATTTGTTGCTTGTGATATTTCTATCTTTTATCTATTTTGGTAACGAAAGACGCTGCACTTATCGAATAAATAATGATTCGTTGTCAAACTAAATTTATAAATACTAAAGTTTCTTCATTATTTTCAAACAAACGATCACATCGTTAAAGTTGATTGTGTTATAGATTATTGCATAACAGGCTTAAGTAACCCATTATATTGGTACAAGGTTAATAGACTAATATTGTAGTAGGTTTTAGTTATATGTGATATACAGTATTTTTCACTTCGATTGAGATTAATCTATACCAAAGAGAGAAAAAAACGATTTATTGTTTGTTTGCAACGAATAGGCTCCGAAAATACTGGACCGATTTAAAAAATTCTTTCTCCTACGAAAAGCTACTACTATAGGTACTATGCGGTGAGCATAGGCTATAGGTATTTAATCTCGAAAAGCAGTAAACAATGAAGGATGAAAATAGGAGTGGAAAACTTCCACTCCTATTTTATATAGGGAATTAGTATTAGTAGTATAGGGGATTAGAACGTTATAATAATCTTAATATAATAATAATATATATTATTTCAAAGAAAAACGTTTTAATAATCTTAATATAATATAATAATAATATAATATAATAATAACAATCTTTATTTGCGAAAATATGGTGGTTATAGGTTACAATTTTAGACTAGCGTATTTTATCGTCAAGACATTTGCACATCGCAAATATTAAAGTAAAAATAAAACAAATTGACTGATT